GACCGGTACAGACCGGTACAGACCAGTATAGACCAGTACAGACCGGTACAAAATAGTGCAGACCAGTATAAACCAATACAGACCGGTACAGACCGGTACAGACCATTCCAGACCAGTATAGACCAGTACAGACCTGTACAAAATAGTACAGATCAGTACAGACCAGTATAAACCAGTACAGACAGTATAGACCAGTACAGACCAGTACAGTCCAGTACAGACCAGTATAGAGCAGTACAGACCGGTACAAAATAGTACAGGTCAGTACAGACCAGTACAAACCAATACAGACCAGTACGGACCGGTACAGACCAATATGGGTTGACATAGACCAGTATAAGCCAGTATAGACTGGTACGAGCCAGTATAGACCAGTATAGACCAGTATGGGCCAGTATAGACCAATACAGAGTAATGTGAGCTTCTAGAGACGAGTATAGACCAGTATGGACCAGTATGGATTAGTATAAACCAGTTTGGACCACTACAGATAAGTATAGACCAGTACAGACCAGTATAAACCAGTATGGACCAATATAGACCAGTACAGACCAATATAGACCAGTACAGACCAGTATAACCAGTATGGACCAATATAGACCAGTACAGACCAGTATAGACCAGTACAGACCAGTATAACCAGTACAGGTGGGGGATGGGGTCTCCCCACTCTCCCAGTTCTCCCAGTAACGGGGTCCCCTCTCCCCTCTCGCCACCAGTCTGAAATCGGCTTCGGGAAGTTGGAGACCTACGTGAAACTGGACAAACTGGGAGAGGTGAGGTCACCTGAGTGTCACCTGAGTGTCACCTGTGTGTCACCTGAGTGTCACCTGTGGCACCTGAGTGTCACCCATCTGTCACCTGAGTGTCACCTGTGTCACCTGTGTCACCTGTGTCACCTGTGTGTCACCTGTGTCACCTGTGTGGCACCTGTGTGTCATCTGTGTGTCACCTGTGTGTCACCTGTGGCACCTGTGTGTCACCCATCTGTCACCTGTGTCACCTCTGTGTCACCTGTGTGTCACCTGTGTGTCACCTGTGTCACCTGAGTGTCACCCCTGTGTCACCTGTGTCACCCTGAGTGTCACCTGTGTGTCACTCGTGTGGCACCTGTGTGTTACCTGTGTCACCTGTGTGTCACCTGTGTGTCATCTGTCATCTGTGTGTCACCTGTGTGTCACCTGAGTGTCACCTGTGTGTCACCTGTGGCACCCGTGTGTCACCCTAAGTGTCACCTGTGTGTCACCTGTGTCACCTGTCTGTCACCTGTGTGGCACCTGTGTGTCATCTGTGTCACCTGTGTGTCACTTGTGTGGCACCTGTGTGTCATCTGTGTGTCACCTGAATGTCACCTGTGTGTCACCCGTGTGTCACCTGTGCCTTGTGTCAGCCATGTCTCCTCCATGCCTGTGATGTCCCTGTGTCCCCTCTGGTGTCCCCAATGTCCCCATTGTCCCCTCAGGGCACCTACGCCACAGTGCACTGGTGTCCCTGATGGTGTCCCCGTGTCCCCAGTGTGCCTCTGATGTCCCCAATGTCCCCATGTCCCCAGGGTACCTATGCCACGGTGTACAGGTGTCCCTGATGATGTCACCGCTGTCCCTGATGATGTCCCTGATAATGTCCCCAATGTGTCCCCCTGTCCTCAATGTCCCCAATGTCCCATTGTCCCCAGGGTACCCACGCCACGGTGTACAGGTGTCCCCGATGATGTCCCCAATGTGTCCCCCAATGTCCCCACTGTGTCCCCAATGTCCCCAGTGTGTCCCCGATGTCCCCAATGTGTCCCCCTGTCCCCAGGGTACCTACCCCAAGGTGTACAGGTGTCCCCAATGTATCTCTGATGTCCCCAATGTGTCCCCATGTCTCTGATGATGTCCCCAACGTGTCCCCATGTCTCTGATGTCCCCAGCGTGTCCCCAATGTCCCCAATGTCCCCATTGTCCCCTCAGGGCGCCTACGCCACGGTGCACAGGTGTCCCTGATGATGTCCCCGATGTGTCTCTGATGTCCCCAATGTTTCCCCAATGTCCCCAATGTCCCCATGTCCCCAGGGTATCTACCCCAAGGTGTACAGGTGTCCCCAATGTATCTCTGATGTCCCCAATGTGTCCCCATGTCTCTGATGTCCCCAGCGTGTCCCTGATGTCCCCAATGTCCCCGTTGTCCCCAGGGCACCTACGCCACGGTGTACAGGTGTCCTTGATGATGTCCCCAATGTGTCTCTGATGTCCCCAATGTGTCCCCAATGTCCCCAATGTCCCCAATGTCCCCATGTCCCCAGGGTACCTGTGCCACGGTGTACAGCTGTCCCCAATGTATCTCTGATGTCCCCAACGTCCCCCATGACCCTGATGATGTCCCCAATGTGTCCCCATGACCCTGATGATGTCCCCAGCGTGTCCCCATGTCTCTGATGTCCCCAGCCTGTCCCTGATGTCCCCAATGTCCCCATTGTCCCCTCAGGGCGCCTATGCCACAGTGTACAGCTGTCCTTGATGATGTCCCCAATGTCCTCAATGTGTCCCCATGACCCTGATGGTGTCCCCACCGTGTCCCCATGTCTCTGATGTCCCCAGCGTGTCCCTGATGTCCCCAGCGTGTCCCCATGTCTCTGATGTCCCCAGCGTGTCCCTGATGTCCCCAATGTCCCCATGTCCCCAGGGCACCTACGCCACGGTGTACAAGGGCCGCAGCAAGCTGACCGAGAACCTGGTGGCGCTGAAGGAAATCCGGCTGGAGCACGAGGAGGGGGCGCCGTGCACGGCCATCAGAGAGGGTGGGGACACTGGGGACACTGGGG